TTTTTTTTTTTTTTTAAGACGAAATCAATCATTTTTCCTATGCTTTGGTCAACAAGTGCTCAAGTCTAAACTTAGTGTTTAACAAGGACACGTGAGCAGTTTTATTAGTACAACCTGTGGAAATGACTTATCTCTTACTGAAGTTTCTAATACTACTGAGATCCATTTTGAAAATATCTTATGTCAACTGCTTCAGAAGGCTGAAAAGGCTAAAGAAGCTTATTACTGATATCATTATTATTATGAATCAGACTATTTCTACATTGTTCAAATCACTATTTTGACTTGTTGTCCTACATGCAAGCTCTAAGAAGTTTCCACAGTGCCTGAACTGTGGTATAAACTGTAACAGGTCAAATTAGTGAATGATCACTTTAGAACACTTTAACACTGATCAGAACACTCTGTTATCTTTGCTGCTGCTATTGGGAAGAAAATCATCTGGGGGCACTGGAGGATTCTGCTGCAATGCTAGTGAAAAGTACTGTATTAGGTATTGGATTCTCAAAAAACCTCCCCTCTAAGGTTTACATGAAAATATTCTTCTTAGGCGACAAGCATGGCCCATGTCTCTCTTCTTCACTTCCTGAAAGCAAGGCCCACTGTATTCTTTCTTCTTTTGAGGTAGGATGTTGGGTGTCTAACATGCCCCCTTTAAACCCTGTCAATGCCATCATGGTATTACTTTCTAACTCAGAAAGTGAACTACACTTTCTCCAAATATGTCAGCCTGAGTTCCACAAAAATGAGACTCACAGAATCTTAGAAGCTAGAAGAGAATTTAGAGGGCGTTTTGTCCAAATGAACAAATAAACTGGAATAATGGTATCCCCAGAGTATATGAAGCAGTGTCCAGGGGATATGAGATGCCTTAGAATGAATCTGACTCAACTCCCGGAAGGATTATTTTTACTCAAATAGTTCTGAGTAGAGATTTAACTGCAAGACAAAACATTTTCAGGAACTAAAATGGGAACACTCCAGATTCTTCTGCCATCAAGTTAGAATTCCAGTGTTTGACTAGATGCAGAATTCCCTTCTACGTGAAGAAGACATGATAATTATAAATCATGGCTACCATTTACTGAGCACTTACAATATGCCAGGCACTGTGGTCAGAGTTTTACATATATTATCTCATTTAATCTTCCTAACACTATCAGGCAATAGTAGTAATTGTTTGTTTCTATTTTACAAAGGAGGAAACTAAGCTTAAAAAAGGTGGAAAAAACTTGCCCATGTTCACCTAGCTAGTAAACAGCAGAGTTGGTGTTTGGCCCAGGGCTGTCTGGCTCTAAAACCTGTGACCTTAACTGCGGCCTCAGAAATGTGAAAATGAGGCAGAGGGACTGTAAGTCTTAAATCAGAAAAGCCTTAAACAAGCCATGTGTCTTTCTGTCCCTCGAGTTTTCCCAGCTATAAAATTCAAATACCTATCTCTTCCTTCATGATAAGAATCCAGAAGCTCATGGGAGTATATATCTATATCTATATATCTATCCATAATAATGAATACACACACACACACACACACACACACACACACACACAGCATCTTATTTTAGAGCTAAAAAGAAGTTTGGTCTGGGCGCCTGGGTGGTTCAGTCAGCTGTGTGTCAGCCTTTGGCTCAAGGCATGATCCCAGGGATCTGGGATCGAGCCCTACCTACATGGGGCTCCCTGCACTGTGGGGAGCCTACTTCTTGCTCTCCCTCTGCTGCCCCCCTCTCCCCGCCTATTCTCCCTCTCTCTGTGTCAAATAAATAAATTAAATATTAAAAAAAAAAACAACCCTGGTCACATAAAAACTTGTACATGAATGTTTATGGTAACCTTATTCATAATAGTCAAAAAGTGGAAACAACCCAAATGTCCATCAACTAATGAATAAGCAAAATGTGTTATATTCATAGAATGGAATATTCTTCAGTCATAAAAATAAGATATTGATATATGCTACAATGCAGATAAACCTTGAAACATCATGCTAATGGAAAGAAGCCAGTCACAAAGAAGCTCATATGTATGATTTCATTTATATGAAATGTCCAGAACAGGCAAATCCATAGAAACAGAGTGGTTATCAGGGGTCAGGGCATGGGGTAGGGGATTAGGAGGAATAGAGAGTGACTACTAATGGGTATAGGATTTTATTCTTCGGCGGGGGGTGAAATGTTCTATAATTAAATAGTGGTGATGGTTGCACAACTCTAAATACACTAAAATCAAGTGAATTTTATACCTTTAAAAAGTAAATGTTATGGTATGTGCGTTCTATCTCAATAGAGCTGTTTAAAAAAAAAAAAAAACTTGGAGGCCATGGTGGCAAAAGAAATATACTTAAAAATACTTTGAGGGTGCTTGGCAGGCTCAGTCTAAAGAGCATGTAGCTCTTGATCTCGGGGTCATGAGTTTGAGCCCTGTATTGCATATGATTACTAAAAAAATAAATAAACTTAAAAAAAAAAAACCTTGGACAGAAGCATCACAGAAATATTGTATTACACCTTAGATATTATACGTTTCATGTTTATAAAGACATGTTATATACATCGTAACAAAGCCTGGCCTTCTACTACATCTCTCCTGGTTATCTTGTCCAAGGAGAATCTTAATTCACTTCAAAATACTCAACTCCTCTAGTTTCTGAGTGCCCAGTTAATAAAATGCTAAAATACAATCTAAACTGGCTGCTGATGTAAACCCCAGGGGCTTGTCCTGCTTAAAAAGAGAAAGGGAAAAAGCCACAAAACTCACCAAGGGCCTATATTCAAGGCCAGAAAGGATAACAAGAATCTAGATCTAATGGAAATTATATCCCCCTATACCCTTTTGGGAACAGCTTGTCAGGATTTCCTACAGAAAAATTAGGCAAAGGAACCTCAACTATAAAGGTACTGCTTTATTGAAACAACCATCAACATTGAAATCCTTACCTTCATAGAGTGCAGCATAATATAAACACATTATCTTACTTTCATCTCAACAATATTTGTATGAGGTACAGATTTTTACTCTCATTCTATAAGTAAGGAAAGTGAGGCACAAGCAAGTCAATGAGAAGCAGAGTTAAGATTCAACATGCATGTAAATTCCAAGTTCTCTGCTCTTTCACCATGTCATGTTAATATCAGCTTTCTCCCTTCATCTCTCTTGGCTACCTATCTTTCCCCAGATCAGAGAGCAGAGTTGAGTTTGTTTCTGCTGACATTATTTTGTAACATGAACTTACTCCCAAGAAATAATTTTCCCTTTAATTGTTGTGGTTTGCTGTATTTCTTGCATAGGTATCCATAAGAAACACCTGCTCAGAATAAGTATTAAGTCAATGCTGTTGAACAAATAAATAAATCTGGCTAGGTGTATCCAGTTAGTTTCATCTTTCATGAATAATGAATGAAGACTCAAAACCTAAAAAATCTTACAAAATCCCTTCCCAGTGGTTGCAAAAGGTTTTAGAACGGAGTCAGAAATGTTGCTACTGAACTGGCCTTGAAATGACTTTTTTTTTTTTTTTTAAGATTTCATTTATTTATTAGTCAGAGAGAGAGAAGGAGAGCGAGCACAGGCAGACAGAGTGGCAGGCAGAGGCAGAGAGAGAAGCAGGCCCCCCGCTGAGCAAGGAGCCCGATGTGGGACTCAATCCCAGGACGCTGGGATCATGACCTGAGGCGAAGGCAGCCGCTTAACCAACTGAGCCACCCAGGCGTCCCTTGAAATGACTTCTTGAGGAACTGTCCAACTCTTCCCTCGCAGCCAATCAAATGATGATGTAATCCCCTAGATGGGAAGCCCACAGGCAAGATCTTTAGCTCTACTTATCATCCGGATTCTCACCTTTTGCACAAGCTCCTATTTCCTGCAACTAGCTACTTTCCAAGTTATTAGGCATCTCTTTTTTCCCTTCCTTCTTCCTTACCTGTCTCCCTCCCCCTCTTCCCCACCTCCATTCTCTCCTTTACCTCTTCTTCCTTTCACTAGTGGTAGCATTTACCTCACGCTTCCCAGTGAGGCATGAAGATACCCATGAGAAGCAACTATGACAAACTAATGAAATAACTTCACAGGGTATTACCCACTGAATTAATGGAAATGCCAAGTATTTACCATGTGCTGCTCTAGCTAAGCCTTTTCCAAAGAACTAAGCAGACCTATGGGATAAAATCAGACTAGAAGTTCATTTTTCTTCTGATAACTGAAGAGTTAATAGTTTTATTTTCAACAAATAAGAAGGACTGAAGTACATTATAAATCCAGCTCTTAATTTTCAAAAGTAGGTGGATTTAACGACTAGGGCATTAACAACATTCCTACATTTGTTAAAAAGGTATGTTCTCTATTTAAATTAGATTTCTACCTATTCAGCCCTCAAACTTCTTCCTCGCAATAATTTCATAGTCTTGACCTTGGTTACTTAATTAATACTTCCATGACACCACCCTATAAAGATACAAGTAAAGAATTTTTACTTAATATTAAATAAAAACAAGTTTTAAACATAGATATGCATATACCTCCTTTCACATTTAAATAATATGAAGAAACATATGTTCACAAATGTAACATCAATGAAAACCTTTAGCTCTAGTAATTTTCCCCAAGCTTTTCAGTTTAAGGATAGTACCATTTAATATTTGAACTAAATGCATTAACATAATTTTACCCATGACAGACTTTCTCTAGGTAAGGAATCATAGACTTTTAGAGCTTTCTGGAATGTCAGATATCATTAGGCACAATTCTTCCATTTTAAAAACGAAAAAACTCCCAAGTTAAGTGTTTGTCAAAGTCTTATAGCTGACTAATGGCAGGTAAGGGATTTTGGCTCCTGACTCCCAGTGCACACAGCTTAAGTTCTATAGGTGAAAAATATTTAGCTTGTTGCTATCAGCCAAAAAGGCAACAAAAATCAGAACTCCTCTTACCCTGTGTATGACTGACATCACACTGGTTTCAACTTTCAGTATTTCTGCACCACAAATTCTTAACTTGTGACTTACCCTGCTGAGTTGATCCAATAACCTCTGGTTCTGATCTGATAATTCCTGGACGGCCCGTGTTTTTTCTCGATCTGCTTCCCGCAGATGAACCTGCTGCCTCTCCAGCTCATCCTGAAGCTGTTTCACGTCACTCTCCAGCTCTGACACACGCCCTTCCCATTCCCCTTCTCGGTTCTCAAATCGTCTTCTCAGTTCGTGTTTCTCTTGTTCTAAGTGCTGGGTGAGAAGTGAAGAGGATTTAAAAACTGTCCAAAATTCACAGCCTTTTGCTTTTTTCTCTTCTCACACTTTCCTAACTTTTCTTTTTCCCAGCCAGTCAGCACAACAAAACACCCTGCCACATGGGAAAAGTTGCCTATTTCACAGCTACAAAAACATTCCTTTCTTGCAAAGTAGGGACGGCGCTGGCTTCACAAAGAGAATGCCATTCCTCTTTAAAATGCTTAATATTACTAAGTTTATTCTCATTCTTGAGAATGGATTGTGGATTTAGGAGTTCAGTTGAAATTGAACAAGTCATCCAATTAACTGGTGAACTATACATTTAAACAACTTAAGAGAGTCCTTAAGGCTTCTTTTAGAATCATCTATTATGCTTGGCATAATACCAGGCACTTAGAATCAAGGAATTTTCAGAGATGGAAAGAACTCCAGAGATCCTTCAGATTAACCACCTTTTCTTACAAATGAGGTAACAGAAGATAAGAAGTCAAGTAACAAGCTCAAGGTCAGTACCAGTAAAAGGCAGAGCTGGGATTTGTGTTTAAGTCATTGGACTCCATTACTGCTCTAAATCACAATTCAGTAAATATTTGTTGTGATATAAGGTATTATATTTTGATATCAAGCAAGTTCAGCTTCAGATCTGCTTTAAATCATGGCCCATTAGCCCTGCATATTTATTTCTGATCCATCCATTCATTCTTAACTACCTACTATGGGTCAGCCACTGTGCTGGGGATACAGTGAAAAGTAAAACAGACAGGGTCCTTGAGTTTACAGAGCTTTCATTCTAGTGGGAGAGACTGGTAAAAGTAGAAAGTTGTGTGTGACAAATGGTATGCAGTAAAAATACAGATGGCTTGAAGTAGCAGCTCAATAAAAAAGGATTCTTTTGAAGGAAGAGTATCTCTTTGTTTCTGTGAGACAAATACAGATGTCTCTTTACAGAGCCAAGTATGCTCTACTTAAAAAGCATACTATGTACAAGAAAGCGAAGTCTATATCCCACAGTATATTAAAAAGAAGTTAAAGCAATGGTCCTCAATTTGGGGGGCTCTCAGAAAAGCTGATATAATTGTTGTAAATATACCCTCCTGGACCTGAATCCCAAAGACTATGATTTGTCAAGAATGGGATGAAGCCTAGACATGCATCTATCTGCCTATCTATATTGGCTCTACAGGAAATTCTGATGCACTGAAGGTTGATATCAAGCATTCTGATTGTTTCAACAAGCTAAGATGAGCATCTGAATCTTCTTCAGAGTAGTCAGTCATCTTTTCTACTTGGGAAGGTGTGCTCTTATTCTATCCAAGTTCTCACTCTGAATATTTTTTGGAATGCTTCTTTTGGAAAGCCTTAAGGCCAGTGTATACTTAAACATGAAAATGAAAATCAGTCTGTTACTTCACATCTAATATGTGTCTAGAAAAGAGATCACTCCATTTCGTCCTGTCATTTTATTCTCCTCTTTTGCTCTAAATGACCTGATGTTTCTTAAAGTCGAATTTATCCCCAAAAGATGAAAACATGCCATCACAGAGCAGTCAAAATAATATGCCAAAAAGATAAAACCAGTGATCTGAAATGAAAATTCTGATCACATTAGCAAAGGCAATTTTTACTGAAATCAATATATGGCCTCCCAGGTTGACCACTTCTGGGAGATAACTCACTTGGACATAATCATTCTACTGTATTTGTTGAAAAAGTCACATTATAGTTATATTTTATACAGCTTCCGTTTGGAGCATGCAGGGAAAAGAAGGACAAGGGAGGGACTTCTCATCAGCATGAGAACTTTCTGCTCTATGCTTCCCTCAACATTGCCAAACTCCAAAAATGAAAATGTTTTAGTCACCGTAGAGACTTCAGAAAGATGAAATGCAGAAACAAATGCTAATTGCAATCCTAAAATTGTGATACTTGGTTTTATTCAGTTTTTCCAAAATGAAAAAGATCGAGCAGAAGGCAACAGCAAGAACTCAGTAATCACAGTGTTACTGAGAGGCCAGATAAATTAGGCTTGTGTTCTAAAAGAACAGAGAGACTTAAAAATATTCAGCAAACAGCTGTTAGCGAACAGCCCAACCAAGCAACTAAAACAATCCAGTCCACTTGGAGTTGGGGGAGGGTTTGAGACAGGTGGTGCTCATCAGGCTATTCTGTCCTTAGAGTTCCCTGGTCACGTGACAAACTTCCTAATTCAGGTTTCCCTGAACACTGAAAAAAATCAATCAAGACTTTCCTATTAATGAACATACAGAATTTAGCCCTTTGTTCACTCAAAGAAAGGTGTCCTAGAATTGTATTTTCAGCTAAGTGAAATTAGCCAGTAAACTCTAGGCAGCATATTGGGACATGCGGAGGTAAGGGGTTGTTCTGTTATTCATTTAATACGTTATATTTATTTTGTTATGTGTTATTTTAAAAGTTAATATCTATACCTGAAACTAATAATGTTACATTATGCGTTAACTATACCTCAATAAACAAAAGAAGGAAAGTTAACATCAAAACTGTCAAGGTCATCGAAAACAAGAAAAGTCTAAGAAAGTGTTACAGCGAAGAGGAGACTACGAAAAACTATATGCAATGTATTCAGGATGGGATCCTGGAAAAGAAAAAAAAAATAGGTAAAGCCTAAGGAAATCTGAATAAACTGAGGAGTTTAGTTAACAACATATCAGTATTGATTTTTTTCATTATGGCAAGTTTACCATAATATGTTAATAACAGGGGAAACTGGGTTTGTGGCGTATGGAAACTTACTGTACTACCTTTCTATGTTTTCTGTAAACCTGAAACCATTCTTTTTTTTTTTTTTTGTTTTTTTTTTTTTTTTTTTTTTTTTTTTTTAAAGATTTTATTTATTTATTTGCCAGAGAGAGAGAGGGAGAGCGAGCACAGGCAGACAGAATGGCAGGCAGAAGCAGAGGGAGAAGCAGGCTCCCTGCCGAGCAAGGAGCCCGATGTGGGACTCGATCCCAGGACGCTGGGATCATGACCTGAGCCAAAGGCAGCTGCCCAACCAACTGAGCCACCCAGGCGTCCCACCTGAAACCATTCTTAAAAAAATAAAAATTTATTGAAACCCCTGAAAAAATGAAAGTTAATATCATTAGCCCATCTAAAATTGGTTGTTACAGGGCGCCTGGGTGGCTCAGTGGGTTAAAGCCTCTGCCTTCAGCTCAGGTCATGATCCCAGGGTCCTGGGATTGAGGCCCCCATCGGGCTCTCCGCTCTGCGGGGAGTCTGCTTTCTCCTCTCTCTCTCTGCCTACTTGTGATCTCTGCCTCTCAAATAAATAAAATCTTTAAAAAAAAAATTGGTTGTTACAAAAATTGGGATTTCTGCAAAGAATAAAAAAAAAACACCATTCTCCTACGTCTAGGATATACAATGAAAAAGTACTAATTTTTAAGTGGACCAAGCACTGAATACAAGGAAGGACCTCTGGGTTGCCTCTCCAAATCTATTAGTGACTCTCATTATGTGATTATTTTCACTTTACTTGTTTGGCCCTTTAAAAACACTGTACTAAAATCATGAAAATTGGCCTAAGGAAGGGAGAAGAAAATGTAGTTGAGGGAAAAGACTACCTTTGCAGTAAGAGAAAATTCATTTTCAACTAGAATAGGAAAAAAGGGAATCTTATATGTTAAAAAGGTTTTGGAAAACTAAATATTTAATTTCTGAAGAAAAAAGTATATAAATAAATGCAAGTTACTGTCTTAGTTCATATTTTGGGAAAAAACTAAGGACCTAGTGGGTATAAGATTTAAAAGCAAAAGGGCAGGGGTGCCTGGGTGGCTCAGTTGGTTAAGCCTCTGCTTTCAGCTCAGGTTATGATCCCAGCGGTCCTGGAATCGAGCCCCCACATTGGGCTCCCTGCTCAGCAGGGAGCCTGATTCTCCCTCTCTTCCCTGCTTATGCTCTATCTCACTACTTCTCTCTCTCTCTTAAATAAATAAAATCTTTTAATTAAAAAAAAAAAAAAAAGCAAAAGGGCTCACTGTAGATGCAGACTTTTTTTTAAAGTAGGCTCTACCCCCAGCATGGAGCCCAGTCATAGGGCCTGAACTCACCACCCAGAAATCAAGACCTGAGATGAGATCAAGAGTCCATTGCTTAAGAGACTAAGCCACCCAAGTGCCTCCAGAAGAAATACAGTTTAAAAAATAACTTTAGGAGTGGGGCACCTAGATGGTGCAGTCAGTTAAGTGTGGGAGCCTTGGTTTTGATTGGGGTCTGATCTCAGGGTCCGAGATGATGGGAGTCCTGCATAGAGCTCCAGGTTCAGCCAGGAGTCTGCTTGGGATTCTCTCTTCCTCTTCCTTGCCTGTGCCCCCTCACTCCTCATTCTCTCTAAAATACATAAATAAATCTTTTTTTTTTAAAAAAGATTTTATTCATTTATTTGAGAGAGAGACAGTGAGAGAGAGCATGAGTGAGGAGAAGGTCAGAGGGAGAAGCAGACTCCCCATGGAGCTGGGAGCCTGATGCGGGACTCGATCCTGGGACTCTGGGATCATGACCCGAGCCGAAGGCAGTTGTCCAACCAACTGAGCCACGCAGGCATCCCAAAAATACATAAATAAATCTTAAAAAAATAACTTTAGGGGTGTCTGGTTGGCTCAGTTGGTGAAGTATGGGACTCCTGGTCTTGGGTTGTGAGTTTGAGACCCAGAGTGAGCATAAAGATTACCTAAAAAATAAAACCTTAAGGGGCGCCTGGGTGGCTCAGTCAGTTAAGCCGCTGACTCCTGATTTCGGCTCAGGTCACCATCTCAGGGTCCTAGATCAAACCCCACATTTGGCTCCGGCTCAGCAGGGAGTCTGCTTCAGCATTCTTGCTCCCTCTGCACACCCCCCTGACCCTGCTCTCTCTCCTTAAAATAAATATATTTTTTTAAGATTTTATATATTTATTTGTCAGAGAGAGAAGGGAACAGCAGGCAGAGAGAGAAGCAGGATCACTGTGGAGCAAGGAGCCTGATGTGGGTCTTGATCCCAGGACCCTGGGATTATGACCTGAGCGGAAGGCAGACACTTAACTGACTGAGCCACCAAGGTAGCCCAAGAATAAATGAAATAAAATCTTAAAAAAAATTTAGAACTCCAAGCATATGAAAACACAATTCAGTGAATGAATAAAATACAGTATAGTCAATTAAAGGGTGGGAAAAAGATGACCAAATCTTCCAGTCTTTCAAATTAATCTTCATTTTAACCTGAGATATACAGCTAAAAAATATTGTTATCCTTTAAAACATTAAAGACTTCAAATACTGTGCCTTTAAATGAGAGAGCAGTATAAAATCAAGACTTTATGTTTTAAATGACAAAACAAAGTCTTAGGTTTGGCACACAGAATTGGGAAGGTATTCAATATTAACTAATGAATAGGTAGGAAAAAAGTCTTGACAATGGCTTGTTGGTCCTGAAGTTAGAAAGGTGCTAATTTTGAAGTAGTAAGGGAACAGAGGGGAATAAAACAAGACCAATCTCATTATTTAACAGTCAAGCCAACATTGTCTCAGAGTCCACTCATGTGTTAATCTTTCAAACCAACCTGTGAGAAAATGTGTTTGACTCCACTGACAATTTCTAGAAAATTACAGATGCTTTTTAAAGGGCAAGTCCTCTACTCTTAAATATGTAATTGAAAATACAGCAGAGTGGTGGTATTAAACTTTAGACAGTATTTTGTCTAAACAGACATTCTAAAATCTAGGCTGCTTAAAAAATATACTGTGAGGAAAATTCACTTGCAAGTATCAAATGAAATCGTTCTCTATTAGGTTTCAGTCAATTAACAAGAAAAGAAGGACCTAATTAAAACAAGGACCTAATGACTATATCTTCATGAAATATTTTTAAATGTACTTCTTGAAAAAACTAAAAATTCTTAATGATAATCTTCAAACATACCTTGAAGAAATAGTATAACTGAACCCTCCAATACTCATCCTCAGTAATGATTAATATTTAGCTTTTAAAAATAAACATTTTAGGGGTGCCTGGGTGGCTCAGTGGGTTAAAGCCTCTGCCTTCCGCTCAGGTCGTGATCCCAGGGTCTTGGGACTGAGCCCTGCATCGGGCTCTCTGCTCAGCAGGGAGCCTGCTTCCCCCCCCTCTCTCTGCCTGCCTCTCTGCCTACTTGTGATCTGTCAAATAAATAAATAAAATCTTAAAAAAAATTTTTTTAAAAAGTATACATAACATAAACTTTACCATTATAACCATTTGTAAGTGTACAGTTGAGTAGTGTTAAGTACATTCACAATGTGGTGCAACCACAGCCTCCAGAAATTAGAATAAATCTTTAACACTAGTGTTCATATGGTAACCTGTTGAGGAATAAAGATTTTATAAACTAGTTTAAGAGGTTTAAATGATTTATTACTGTCTGGTCAATAGCAAAAAGTTAAAGGTCGTTTATTCTTTTACAACAGAATCTTTCTTATTACACAATTTTAAAATCTTTTTCTTTCGTTGAAGAAATGTACAAAGGCTCCACATGGAACCAGGATGTGTGTAATTGCGCACTCAGGATTACTCTGAAATCTATCAGTAATCAAACTGACTGATATGATGTTCCTTTCAAATTAGCAGTCTCTTCAATCAAGTCCCTCACTGAAGGAATTTCAAATCACAAGTATAAATCTCTACAGTAGTATTCTTATATAGAGTCATGTAACCAAAACCCATTTTCAAAAAAAACACCCTTTTATTTCTAGGCCTCTACTTCAAGTGAAAATTAAACAATTCAGTTCATTGGATTGCTTTTTGGCAGTCTACTTATAGGTTTCACAATACCACTTTTCAGAGAGATATCTCAGGGGTTCATCGACTGGCAGACCTAGTTAACAGGCCAACTGAACTACAGGGCACTCACTGGTTTCCTTTTTTCCCCCTGATTTACTTTTGATATGTCGCTAGACCACAAACACACTTAAATCTTATTACCGAAAAGTTTCTGAATCTACATTCTGACTGTTCAACCAGTAGCAAAGATATCAGACTAGGGTCAATTTCAGACCTTATTCAGGACTGTACTATTCTCTTGTAACTAAGAATAAAAAGAACTGGTTGCCACCGAACTGGGAAACAATAGTAAAGGCACAGGCAGACAAAAATTCCACGGCCAGAGATGCCCCCCCCACCCCCTTTTAAAAAGAACTCTCTTTAATTTAGAAAGGCTGGCATTCCATACCACTTTCAAGGCCCTTTTCCAGTAATGGGAAAGAACAGGCATAGCTCTGAGAAAGACTTTGGTCCAGAGAATTGGCAGAAATCTTACAGACACTTTAAGAGGTATTTATAACAGTTAAAGTAATACGGTTCTGGGAGGTTGCATTTCGCCATGGAATTTTGCATGCATGAGGCCTGGAACACAGAATACTGTTTAAATACAAGATACACAGAAATGCAGAGGTCCAAATTAAATCCACTACCAACGGTCACATGCTGAGCCCAGCCTTGCCTGATTTCTGCAATGGAACCACATTTCCTAATCCCTGAGTATTTGAAGGCTATATAAAGCTCCTTTAGGAGCACTTGTTTCCCACAACTCTGAGCTGCCGGGAAGTTAAGACAAGGGCATCTGGAGGCCTTAACGCCAAAACTGGAAGGCTTTAGACTAACACCCTGATTAGAGATTAACTACTCTGAAAACCTGGAGCATATTTTAAATGCTTCCCGACTTCCTCATTTCTCTGTGTGCAGACATCACCTCAGCGCTGTATAACTTAGCCATACTGTAAGCTCTATTTTAGATGCAGTGTACAGTACATATATAGAATGGCCCACAGCGGGGCTGGGGCTGTGCATGGACCCGTTTGCTGAAGTCAGGTGGATTCAATGTTGCCCTGGTCTGGTAACTGAAAACCCTCTAGCCTACCCCTCCCCTCAGGTGATTTTCTGTTGAGGTAGCGAGAGCAAGGAAGGAGTGGGGTGGGTGAGTGGCTCCCGAAGCTGCCGGGCGGGCTCTCCCTGCTTCCCACCCATCCCACGAGGGACGTCCTCACCTCCAGCTTGTCTGTCAGCTCCTTGTGCATCTGCTCGTACTGCCGGCTCATGTCCTGGTTCCTCTCGAGCAACGCCTTGCCCAGCCGGGCCGCCAACACCAGATCCTTCTCCTTTTGCCGGATTACCGACAGCAGCTCGGGATCCTGGGCGGGTGGCGGCTGCAGCCCGGACCCCTCGGCCGGAGGCCCGACCTCGGCCTGAGAATGCTCCCCGGGGTCGGACGGCCTTTCCCCGGCCGCCAGCAGCGCCAGCTCCTCCTCTAACGCCAGTTCCAGCTCCCCGGGGCCCCCCGGGAAGGAAATGAGGGCGGCGGCGGCGGCGGCTGGACTCCCGACTGCGTCCGCGGCCGCGGCGGGCAGCTCCATGCAGCAGGCGCTGTCCGGCTCGGCGGGTGCTGAAGCGCGGCCGGCCAAGCCCAGGCAGAAGGCGGACATGGCCCGCGCGCGCGGAGCCCGCAGCGGTGCGGCCCGGCCGGCGCGCGCCAGGCTGCAGGGGGG